ATTTAACTTGATGCAATGTCGCGCAATGCAATGTATCTATGCATGAATGAATGGGTGTATGTATGTATGTTTGTATATTATATGCATATGCACATGTACATGTGCATGTGCATGTGTATGTGTGTGTCTATGTATGTATGTATGTATGTATGCATGGATGTGTGTATGTATGTATTGTACTGTATTGTATTGTATTGTATTGTATTGTGCTGTACTGTACTGTACTGTACTGTATGGTATGGTATGGTATGGTTTGGTATGGTATGTATGTATGTATGTACGTATGTATGTATGTATGCATGCATGTATGCGTGTGTGTGTGTATGTGTATGTATGTACGTATGTATGCATGTATGTATGTATGTATGTACGTATGTATGTACGTACGTACGTATGTATGTATGTATGTATGTATTTATGTGTGTAATGTACGGAATGTATGGAATGTATGTATTGTATGTAATCTATGTAATCTATGTAATTTAATGTAATGTAATGTAATGCAATGTAATTTATGCATGTATGTATGCTTGTATATACATCGGTTGGCAGGCGGGCAGACAGGCAGGCACACAAGTGTTTCTGCCTCATAGCATGTGTGCAGGTGCATGCGAGTGCGATTGTCGATGCATGCTATGTCTGCTACGTATTTGGACGTGTATGTGAGAAGGTGGTGTAAGCGGTGTAAGCAGTACGCACTCTGCTGGATCGATTGCTAGATGAGACGGGGAGACAGGAGCCTTCTCCTTCCTGTCCGCATGTCCAATGTGACAAACCGGATGAGCCAAGGACACAGAACGTTCCGAGGCAAGCCGCCGCTCAGCAGACTTGGGGAACGGAGGAGGAGATCGCGTCTTGGCTGGGTGGCTTTTGATGGTGCTGACTCGGCGCCAGAACAGGAGCTTGACCATGAAAGCCAAACCCACAACAGAAGAGCCGAAAGAAACACGATCGGTTTCTAGTCCCGGTCTGTGCTCCTCTGTCTTCTGCCACATTTGCTACCCCTGCTTTTTCCCTAGTACTGTACTGTCTCAATCTCATATCCCTGTCTCAATAATGATCAATAATGTCGACCCTTTTACCGGGTCTTCGCCCTTCTCAGCTTTCGTCTTGTACCCTAGACCCTCGACCGCGTTACCACACAGGAAACATCAGGGGTGTGGAGATTATGGTTAGGAATTTCGGATTAATGTGTACACGCTTCATCCTGAGCTCTCAACCCCTTAGATGCCCCAGGCCCGAACTCTCAAATGTAATACCAGATGGGGCTTGAGAAAGTTTTGCGAACAAGGACCCTTATTGTTACATCGTGGACTCCCTTAAGACGGATCCCTGAAATTTTCTGAAAACTCAGAACCCCTAGTCCCAAAGATCCCAGGCTCGTCCCATTGCGCTTCGCTCTGGCCTTGGCCTCGGAGGAGATACTAACAATCAATATATATATATATATGTACACATACATATATATATATGTTTATACATATATATATATATGTATATACATATATATATATGTATACACATATGCATAGATACAATACCATACATCACACAAACTGATGGTTGCCCTCCTCCTTCCCGCGCCTCCCTCAAAGGTTCTCGACGTAATGGTCCTGCTGAAGCAATGATAAGTGCCCCGCCCCCTCAGAGAATAAGGCAGCATGCTGGTCGGCTCCCCCTCCGCACCTCTAACAAATTCGCAGAACACATGCACCCTGGGCCGAAGCTTGTTTTTTTGGTTCGTTCATCAGGATCGTGGAAGTCTTGAGAGCATGTGCTGTGTGCGGTGGCACGGCCGCTCGCGTTCTTTTTCGGCTTTAAGGGGTGATCTTGTTGGGCCGTCACTGTACGTGTGTACTAATAGTCAGCATTTTATTGTCATCCTCGCGACATGCATTCAACGTACGTGCATGTCTGTACATACGCAGAGGTGCACTAAGACACACAGCTACACGGTCAAAGTTGATACACATGTGATATGATATAAAGACACATGGCCCGAATGCAGTTAATCAAGCCTGTATTTGGACATATGTGTTCGTGGCGAGTATATATATATATATGTACTTTATAATGATTCCACATGCATATAGAAATATATTAATTATATAAATATGCAGACATAATACATATATATATATATATGTATAGAGATATATCTGTGCACCTATATATACAAATATATCTATATATATATATACATATGTGTGTATGCGTATATACCCATATATATATATATATTTATATGTAGATATATATATATATAGATATAGCGATCGATCTCCAGAAGAGTAACAGAATTGAAGTCATAATTTCAGGGTCGTATGATTGTGCCTTAAATTATGACCAAGGGTTACTCTGGGGTTCAGGGTGTAGGGTACGACATTAGCATCTTAGATCTAAGCTGCAACTGCAACACCACGAGCAGCTGAGCAGGCCACCAACATGATTCCCCGAACTGAAGCTAGCGACCACCGCATCCCCGAGAAGCACCTGCAAAGCTTGTTCGAAATCTCTCTCGCTCTCTGACTCTCTCGCTCTCTCTCTCTCTCTCTCTCTCTCTCGCTCTCTTCACGGCAGGACAAAACATGCAGCTGCTTACATTGCTCATACTTCATAATTTCGTCCGGCATACGCAGGTCCGTTCTTCCCAGGTCCTAGGTCAGGCTGACACGAACTGCATCTTCACTTAAAACCCTATACCCTAAACCCAAAAACCCTCAAATCTCGTAATTATGGTATCATCGGTATCATGTTGTGAGATACACCGTGTTCAGCTGAGTGCGCAGGAAAGGAAAGCATTGAAGTGGCGCAGACCGTGCATGAAACACCGTTCCATGATGAACCGAAGAGATCCCTCGAGGCTTCCTAAGAGGGTTTATATAAGCGGGACAATAAGGGTTTAGGGTTTAAAGGTCCATATACCCAAATATAGTGTATACTTTGCCTTAAAGAAATCCCTAGATAGGTTTTTTGGGGCCAACGCATATACATGTTTTTAAGATTTTTGGTACATGGACTCTTGGGGCCTTGGGGTCATGAAAGCTCACCCATGAACGCTGCTCACATTGACTTCTCTTGCCGTGGCCATTCACACCGTTGCTTCTGCAAAGTATTACCGCACTTAGTTCCACACCAACACCCTGCATAACCCCATCTGGCTTACAGTAAATTACAAGAAAGATGGAACGGGCAGTTCTTACGCCCTAAAGCAACGTCCAGGGAATACTATCCTTCTTCCAGTGTTTAGTTTTTTGAGGCTACTGCAGAAAATGTGGGACCACCTTAACCGTGACCTGTCAAACCCTAAAGGTCAAATCCATGAGGTTGGTCCAGGCATATAGCGGCACCAGCGCTACGGAGGTAAAGCCCGGGGCCAAGAAGTGCCAGAAAGTCGAGAGATACAACCCTCACGCAATTGTGGCCCGACATACCAAAGCTTTGGTTAGCAAGGATGGCTTTTCGGGCCTGTACTTGCACAACGCTTGTAAACACGGACGCTAAGCATGCGAGAAAAGTCCGATGACGACTACGTGTTATCTCGCGACAGCGCAAACCCTGAAACCCCAAAGACTAGCGGAACGCTTAGGGTTTATGGGGTTTATTATAGGGTTTATTATAGTGTTTATAGGGTTTGTAGGGCTTATTATAGGGCTTTTCAGGGTTACTATGGGGTTTTAGGTTGTAGACTTCCTTTTAACAGTCCTTGACATGGTAAAACAAAAGGCTCTGTAGGGGCTCAGGTCGATCCTGAGGCGCAAAAGCCGGATAAGCCCAAAGTATACTGTTGATGATAAAAAACCTTAGCATTACCTGAAGGACCCTAAACTAAGGGAATTAATTATGGTATATCCCTTATAATGGGTAATGCAGGAT